ATATATATTTACTATGTATATATTTCTTGTCAGTATTCATGCATAAGTACTTCTGCTCTGAACTCTGTTGAACTTCAGCAGGCCTCTGTTGTGCAAAAGAAGAATTCACCCTTGCCTGTGTTGTATGAGAATGTTCCGCCACCAAGGCTGCCTGGCCGTTTGTTTGTCATTGTTGTTTCTATCAGTCTAAGACCAAACTGTCTGTAACACTGGCCTCCATCTTTGCTCCTTCTGTATAAAGAAAGCGCGCTCACTTTACACGGGGTTCTTCCTCACTGAGACTGGACGCATTCTGTTGTGATAATTGAACCTTCTCTGCGCAGAGAATAAATACTCAAAAGACAACCTCTAGTTCTCTTTATTTAAGCATTAAAAGACTCACACAAAGCAGGTATGGGATTTTTTCCACCACAAATCTCACACACCTTTTCCAGAATGAAATATATAATGTTGAGAAAAAAAAAAAAGAAAACAGCACTTGTTTACTTAGTTTGTTTTGTCATGTCTCCGAAGCAGCAGGGAGGGGTCAAGTAAGGACATGTTTGGCAATTCTCTTGTGTCGAATACCTTACAGTGTGGGCACCCTGCCGTGTATGAGCTGGGAGAAGGCTCTGATAAATATGGATTTTAATAACAAGCTACTGTTTTTTGAAGTTCTTGTTGATGTCACACCAACTTAAGAAAGAAAAGAGTTTATTTTGCCTGAATCCTGTTAGTGTTTGCCCACGTTTTTAGCAGAACCCATACTGATACATCGCAGTATGTCTTTCTCCAGGGCTTAGGACTGTTTTCATGAAGCTGTCAAATAAAGGTGGTAGAGAGCCGGTGAGTTTCAGCAGCACTGACCAAAGCCTTGTAACCATTAATAGGTCCCTGCAGAGTGAAGTTCACCTTTACCTGTCAGACACTATTTTCAGCCCACAAGACTGGATTATGTAGTAACAAGAACTGTATGGATATGTACATAATGTATGCATGTTCCAGGAGAATTTGACCTATAATATTACACTACATAAGCTATTTTCTTTATTCTGATTTAAGTTAACACTTTGGTTGATCTAAAATAACTGTGGCAACTTGTTTATGGCCTTTATTGCCCATAAACAAATACACTACACTCATAAGCTTCTTTTTCAATAATAAATCACTGCAATTCACCACGAAATATACCTGTAGTTGATGTCGATGTACACAACACTGAGGCTACACAGTTCTTCGGTTTGGCTGTTGATATTTTGGAAAAGTAAATAACATTCAACCAAACTTAAAAAGGAAAAACAATGTCTACCCATAAAGTTGACAAAAACAAACAAAAATCAGCAATGCAAATATCAACAATTAATAGTGACAGTTTGTATTGACTTCTTTTAAACTTAGTTCAGGAACATGGACCATGCCCTCAACACAGCTCAGTTCCTCCGCACAAAGTATTTAAGCACAACGAACCTGTTCACTACCTCTTCAACTCTGCTTTCACATGCCTCCCCCCAACCTCATTTTTGTCTATTTTCTGCCTCTCTCTCTCTCTCTCTCTCTCTTGCAGGTTTACAGGAACAATGGGGGACTCTGCACCACCAGAGCTTCCAAAGAGACCGCTCCCACTCTACATTCCCCAAGTTCCCGCCAGCCATCGGGCACCAACGGTCCCCTATCGCTCGCCCAACCTTTGTTCTACGACCTTCTCTACCCTCCTCGTTTCTTCTTCCCTACACCCTTACATCCCTTCATCCCTCTACCCCTATGCCTACCCTACATCCCCCTACCCCTACCCTACATCCCTCTCCCTCGACCCCTTCCTAAATCGAACAATCATTCCATCACGCAACAAACCTCTTGAAACTCGTATTTTTATTGTCGCGGTCCTTGTTAATGAACTGAGGTTTAGGCCTCTCTGTCTTTCTGCATGACAGAACAGAGATCAACCCTTCTTTGTATAATAATTTACCAGATTCAGACCACAGGCGATGATGATATGATAAGTGGTAGGTTACAAAAATAGGTCACACAGCTTTAAGAATTCTTCTCAAAAAATTAAACAAGCAATTATCATGTAAAACAGTAAACATCAATGTGAAATCAGCAAGTAGCATTTAAGTTTGATGATGACATATCTGCCTTTGTGACTGAAAGTAATTACTATGTTTTTTTTAAATGGTATGAAATGTAAAAGAAGAATAACTTGGAAATAAATTATGGAAAAAAAAAAAGATTCTGCAGAATAGATCATATAATTACCCTCATTTCTAACTATCATTTAATATTCAATTTAGTATATGATATTATTAGTTGATTAGTATTATGTCCTTTCTTATAGTAATGTAGATGGAAATAAACAAAGAAGACGTTTGTTCTGAAAAATGTTCACTTCCCACATCATGCTACCATCAAATTCAAAACTTTCCAGTCAGTCTTTGTTTGGCAGCAGACATGCAATTTGGCAACAACACATAGAGAAACGCCATTATTAACACGTGTTCCTGACTTTATCATCCATTCAAACATCCATAATATAGTGAAAACTCCATTCTAGTATCAGTGTTGATCCTGGAATGAAAACACACTGATGATCGAATACAGAAACGTTTTCAAAGGCCAAAGTATCTGGGTTTGAAATGGCTGTTACATGAAAGCCTAATTAATCCGACACAGACAGAAAAACAGATCCAAGCCCAAAGCAAACAATCTTTGGGCATGCAGTATGTGTCTTTGAGGGAGAAAACAACGCACACCGTCATTGACACGAGCATAATGTTAAATTTGAAACAAACTTACGTCATATCTGCTGGAATTCATCTTCCAAAAGCGCTATAAACAGAGCGTTGCAAAGTTATGAATCCTGAATTCTTAAGTGTTTTCAATGTATGTGCGCGTCGTTCAATTTAAATCCAGCTGTCAGTGGGTCTCTTCCTGTATCGTTGCGAGCTGTGAATGCTGACACACCTGAAACCGACCTCTTCCTTACACACCTCTGATATAAACCACGCCCAAAATACCTGCTGCTGATGCTGCACTGTAGACGTCAGTGGGCAAAACCACACTGCTGTTCTTAAATGACCTGTAAGACCACTGTCATGGCACCAAATAATTACCCGTAAGTCTTCACTGACTGATAACAATGGTGCAGGAGGACGTTTTAATCAAACACTGCTGCTCCGTTTGGAGACTTCCAGGCATGTAAGAATGTAAGAGGACGTTGTTTTGTCCTTTACTATCGTAACGTGACCAATTGCGGATGTTGCTGCCAAAAACCCAGAAAAAAAAAATCACATAATTGACAGTAATAAGTGTAAAACAAATCTCGGAATAAGTAACATTTTAACAATAGAGTGATGCTTTACAGTTTTTTGGGTATTCAAATTTAAAGAAAATAAAAAAATGTACAGTATATAAATTAAATAGAATGGTATTAAATTAAATTAACAACAGTGTAGCGGTGTTGTAGTCAAGTGAATGATGATTTGGCCAGAGGTGATTGTTGTACAGTCTTATAGCAGAGGGCAGGAATGTTCTCCTGTATCGGTCCTTGTGACAGCGGAGCTGGAGCTGTTGGAGAAAGTGCTCCGCTGCCCCTGCATATGGTGGAGAGGGTGTTCCGGGTTATCCAATATAATCATTTCTTCAGTGTTGTTCAGGTTGTGGCCACATGAGTTGTGAGCAGTTACACCAAAAAATATGATTCCCTCTCAGATTGTTTCATTTGAAGTATTCTGAGAGGCTATAATTGCGGAAGAAAAAAACTACAAAAAAGAAAAGTCTAAGTAAATAAATAAATATTACAATACCAGTGTATTTGGTGCACATGTCTAAATGAACGGAGTAATACAACAGTTCTATCTTCATGAAGTTGATAATGTTCAGATTTGGTTGAAACTTCTTTTGAGAGCTCATGATTTAACTTTCTGATCATTTTGGCAGCCAGAGATATAGTGCTGTTGAAATATACCACGCTATACAGAGAGGTGTTTCTAATATTTTGTCCACCCCTTTCAGATCAGGGTATACATAGAAACACTTACTGTGATGCATATAGTTTATTGCAGGACTGTTGTATTAGACTGCATTAGTTCTACTTAGCTGTTCATGATGAACTGGCAACTTTATGTATCTTTTTTTCTTTCTTAGCTTGCACCTCGTGACCCCTCAAATGTATTTCGGTAATTTATTACATTCGATATATTTATTCAAGCTAAAAAAAGTTAAAGTTAACATTTTGAAATGAAAATGTCTTGAATATTCATAGATTCTGGATCATCCAATGGTGTGTGAATGAGTAGGTGCAGCTTTAAGAATATTTAATTAGGTAATTGAGCTATTTTGTAGTCTTAAACGTTGTGTTGGAGGGATCTTTAGGAGTTTTATTCTTTATGGTATCAACGACTATTCCCCATGGGATGTCATACAGTCAGTCTGTTTGCTCAGTTTGAAACAAATTAAAGATGTTCATTTCATTTTCATGGTAGATTCTCCCTTTAAACAGACGCAGAAAATCAGCAGGCGATTCCTGCCGTGCATTCTCTATCCAACACCACCAGATGTCTCTCTTCCCTAATCCATCGCGAGGACGCCATGAGTAAACTCTGTGATAAATACCCGCAGAAACAGGGCTTGGTTCTGTCACGCCTCATCCACATAAAATCCCAGTCTGCCATTGGAGAGCCCGTCGGCAAGAGCGAACAGGACGCAGACGCAGGAGATATCGCAGGAAGGCGCAGACGAACGCAGTGTCCATCACTTCTGCTGATGTAACAGACAGCGTATGTTGGAGGCAGTTATTTAACAAAATATAAAAAAGAGACAAAAGAAGGAGAGAAAATGGGACATACCGCAATACCTATATTGATGGCTGTGTTGTCCTACTGCGTGTGGGGAAACGTCGAGGTAAGAGCAATCTGAACCATTTGTTTCGATGGCGCATTGCAATATTGCTGTCTGTTTAGCTAAATGTCGATGTGGTTGTGTTATAGTTCACGTTGACATCACACATGCCACGCACACAGCTGCCTCTATCTCCATATTGCTGACACGCAGCCTTATCTAGGGCAGGTTTAATTTGTAAATGCATCCTCGCGCTCTGTCTTGTGTCAACAAGAGTAATGGCACACAGCGGCAACGAAAATGCAGGGATAGTGAGGGGGTTCTTTAAATGCAAATGCAGCAATAACGCATGTATGGAAGCTGATATTCCAGGACGTAAATATGAGAGGCTTCATAGAGATGTGGTTTAAAGTGTATTCTGCTCACTGCATCAAGTCTGGGCCTGTATTTGAAATGAAAAATGTCACAAAGGCCCTTTGCTCTGTTGAAGGATGGAGATCATATCCCCTACTCATTGCGTCCCATCTGGCCTTGTCAGAGGAAGAAATCAGCTTGCATCCGTCCTTTAGAGGAGTGGTGCAGCTCCGGAGCAGGATGGAGTCATGCATATTCAATTGCTGTTCTGTGTTATATTCGGTCTTCATGACAGCACACTAATTAGATTAGAAAAAGTCCCAATTTAATCTCACAGTGAATCAGGCAACGTCCGATTTTCAGCGGATGGTCTTCTTTCAAATACCTCTATTTCTAAATGATGTTGCCGTGAAAATGCATGTGAATAAACTGATCGTCCAAGAGGGGGGCGACTTTGATATATCGTTGGCCATAGAGTGCGATACAGAGTACACTACCAATGAGAGGTACAGGTCATCCTATTGGCATCTGTCTCCATCAATAGCGAGAAGTTAGTGAAAGTCTCTGGTAGAGAGCGACAGATCAATGGGCCGCCAGCTGCTTCCAGCTGCCTGTCTCATCACGTCTTGCAGCAGACGCACAGTTTGATGGACTCACCCATCACCCCCCCCCCCCCCCCCCCCCCCCCAGCTCACATCCAGCTCCCTCCCC